TAAATAAATCTGTAAAGATTACCCAATGCCTTTCTTGCTTTAGCACCTAGTTATTCAGGGTCTCTGGAGTCACAATGAAACTGGGAATCTTAATGTGGGGTTCATAAATAAACAATACCCACCTCATAAGAAACTACTGGGCTTAATAAAAACATCACAGACACTCTAAACCATGAATATTTCTTGCTTTTCTCTTGCCTCCCATTCTAACTATAACTATCCTTATAGCCGCCCCATCTTATTTCTGAAGCCCTACTTCATCCATTTGAATTTCTGCTGAAGCTACATAGAAGTTGTAGACCCACCACTTACCACAAGATGGTGGTAAAGAGCCTCATCGGGATAATTCTGATCTTTTTCTCAACTTCTGCACTGTTGACATTGGGGCCACCTAATTCTTTGTTGGAGGGGGCTGTTCTGTGTATTGTAGAATGTTTAGTAGCATCCCTGGCCTTTACCCATTAGATGCTAGTAGCACTCCCTGCAGTCATGACAACCAAATATTTGTGCAGACATTGCTAAGTGTCCCTGGAATATTTGGGTTCTTTGGTTGAGAACCACTATGCAATAGGACCCTGAAGGGTTTTGAATAGGAGAAAGAGAATCAGATTTTGACGAAATTTTTTAAAAGCTTTGTTGTTTTTTTTAAAAATAACATTTATTAATTGAAAAAAATTACAAAAATGTGAAAAAACATTTAACAAGGAATTTGGGGGGCACCTGGGTGACTCAGTCAGTTGGGTGTCCGACTTTGGGTCAGGTCATGATCTTGCAGTTCATGAGTTCAAGCCCTACATCAGGCTCGCTGCTTTAGGGCAGAGCACACTTCACATCCTCCGTCCCCCTCTCTCTGCCCCTCCCCTGCTTGCACTCTCTCCAAAAAATAAATAAAACACTTAAAAAATAAAAAATACAGGCACCTGGGTGGCTCAGTCAGTTAAGCGTCCAACTCTGGACTTTGGCGCAGGTCATGATCCCATGGTACATGGGTTTGAGCCCCATATCGGGTTCTGTGCTGACAGCACAGAGCCTGGAGCCTGCTTTGGATTCCATGTCTCCCTCCCTCTCTGCTCCTCCCCCACTCATGCTCTCTCTATCTCTCTCTTTCAAAAGTAATCATTAAAAAAAATTTTAGTTAAACAAAAAATAAAAAGGGAAGTCTAAAACACACAAAATCCAGCCACTCAGATTAACTTCTGTGAACATTTAAATGACCATCCTTCAAAGCATATGGACACATGTTAAATACGTACAATTTGTCATGCATGGTAATATATAGTACACATACTCTCCTATAATCTTCTTTTCCATTCAAAATCTACTATAAACACCTTTCAAGATCGACAATATGGCCTATTTTCATGCCTGCATAATATCCTTTTGCATGTAATCAACCAAGTTTCTACTGGTAGGCAGAAATTCCTAAATTTTCACTATTATAAATACCATTGCAATTTAATATCCTGGAACATGCACATCTTTGCACAGCCTGAGATTGACAGTTTATACTCAATGTTTCTATATAGCTAGAATTTTGCCAGGGTACAGAGCTTTACAAAGTGAATTACACATGGATCTTTTTTTCTCTTAATGTCATTTATTTTGAGAGAGAGAGAAAGTGTGCCTGCACATGGGTGCAAGCAGGAGGAGGGGCAGAGAAAGAGGAAAGAGAGGGAGAATCCCACACAGGCTCTGCGTTGTCAGCATGGAGCCCGACGTGGAGATCGATCTCACAAACTGTGAGATCATGACCTGAGCTGAAATCAAGATCTGGATGCTTAACCTACTGAGCCACCCAAGCATCCCTACACATAGATCCTATTCCAAAGGTGTACACAGACTGGTAGTGAAAAATGAACACAGGGAAAAATAAAATGTGATAAATGGCATGGCGGAAATGTTGGCAGAAATGAAGAGAATATAACTAAGTATGCACCTGGGATAGTTTCACAGACATGGGCCTAGAAAGTCAGTATAAAAGTTAGTATCAGCTTCTCAATGCTATGTTGAAATAGAAAACCCTAAAAGACTCAACCAAAAAACTGTTAGAACTGATAAGTGAACTCAGTAAAGTTGCAGGATACAAAATCAATGTGGAGAAATCTGTTGCATTCCTACACACTAATAATGAAAAAACAGTAAGTGAAATTAGAAAACAATCCCATTTAACTGAACCAAAAATAACAAATTATCTAGAAATAAACTTAACCAAAGAGGTGAAAGACCTGTACTCTGAAAACTGTAAAGCACTGATGAAAGAAATTCAAGATGACACAAAGAAATGGAAAGATGGAACACATGGGTGGCTCAGCTGGTTAAGCATCCAACTCTTGATTTGGTTCAGGTCATGATCTCCCAGGTTCACGAGCTGGAGCATTGCATTGGGCCCCGTGCTGATGGCATAGAGTCAGCTTAGAATTCTCTCTCTCCTCTCTCTTGTCTGCCCCTCTCCTGCACATTTGTGCTCTCTCTCTCTCTCTCAAAATAAATAACTTAAAAAAAAAAAAGAAATAGAAAGACATTCCATGCTCATAGGTTGGAGAAGCAATTAATGTTAGAAAGTGTATACTACCCAAAACAATCTATACATTTAATGCAATCCCTATCAAAATACCAACAGCACTGTTCACAGAACTAGAACAAACAATCCTGAAATTTGTATGAAACCACAAAAGACCCTGAATAGACAAAACAACCTTGAAAAAAACAAAAACAAAAAAAAAGCAAAGCTGGAGGCATCACAATTCTGAACTCCAAGTTACATTACAAAGTTGTAGTGATCATGACAGTATGGTACTGGCACAAAAACAGACACATAGATCACTGGAACAGAACAGAAAACCCAGAAATAAACCCACAATTATATGGTCAATTAATCTTCAACAAAGGAGGAATAAATATTAATGGAAAAATCTTCAACAAATGGTGTTGGGAAAACTGGACAGCAACGTGCAAAAGAATGACACTGGACCACTTTCCTACAGCATACACAAAAATAAACTACATCAAAATAAAAAGCTTCTGCAGAGCAAAGGAAACAATGAACAAAACTAAAAGACAACCTACCCACTGAATAGGAGAAGATAGTTGCAAATGATATATCTGATAAAGCGTTAGTATCTAAAATATATTAAAAAAACTTATCAAACTCAACACCAATAAAAACAAATAATCCAGTTAAAAATTGGCAGAAGACATGAACAGACATTCCTCCAAAGAAAACATCCAGATGGTGAACAGACACATGAAAAGATACTCAACATCACTCATAATCAGTGTTATGCAAATCAAAACTACAATGAGATATCACCTCACACTTGTCAAAATGGCTAAAACCAACAACACAAGAAACAGGTGTTGGTGAGGATGTGCAGAAAAAGGAACACTTAGGCACTGCTGGTGGGAATGCAAACTGTTGCAGCCACTGTGGAAACAGCATGGAGTTTCCTCAAAAAGTTAAAAATAAAACTACCCTACTGATTCAGTAATCACACTACCAACCATTTACCCAAAAAATACAAAAACACTAATTCAAAGGGACACATGCATCCTGATGTTTATAGCAGCATTATACCAGCAGCATGTAATAGCAGCAATAACCAAACTATGGAAGCAGCCCAAGTATCCACCAACAGACGAATGGATAAAGGAGATATGGCATATACATAATGGCATAATATTCAGCCATAAAAAAAAAGAATGAAATCTCGCCTTTTGCAACAACATGGATGGAGCTAGAAAGTATAATGTTAAGTGAAATAAGTCAGAAATACAAATACCATATGATTTCACTCATGCAGAATTTAAGAAACAAAGCAAATGAGCAAAGGGGAAAAATAGAGAGAGAAACCGAGAAATAGACTGTTAACGATAGAGAACTGATGGTTATCAAAGGGGAGGTGGGTGGGTCAAAGAGGTGATGGGAATTAAAGAGTAAACTAACAGGGATGAGCACTGAGTAATATATAGAATTGCTGAATCACTGAATTGTACATGGGAAACTAATATAACATTGTATGTTAACTATACTGGAATTAAAATTTTAAACTTAATTTTAAAAAGTCAGTCTCAGCTTGTTTTTCTTCAAGGGCTTGTTTGTAACAACCATTTGTTTAAATGTCTATTTCCCTGTTTCCCCTGCTCCCTGTGTGCAGGCGAAGAGTCAACTGTTTCTTCCACATATACACTGTATTTATCACAGAGCCTCATACTTACTGAACCTTCAGGAAACGTTTGTTGAATGGGGGGTATATTTTGAAAACTTGCCTGCCTAGAGAGCATTCTTCTAAAGAGAGGAAAGGAAGAATCACATAGGAGCAAGTGGGCTATGGATATAAATTTAAATTCCCTCCAAACTTCCCAAACTCAAGGACAGACCAGAAAAGAGGGATGGGAAAGAGAAGGGAAAAGAAGACAGAAAGATAAGTTAATGTGTACTTCTATGGTGTTCTCTTTCCCCTTCTGAAAAGCTTATCCAAGGGGCGCCTGGGTGGCTCAGTTGGTTAAGCATCCAACTCCTGATTTCAGCTTGGGACATGATCTCAAGGTTTGTGAGTTCACGTCCACATCAGCATCTGTGCTGACAGTGCAGATCCCGCTTGGGATTGTCTCTCGCATGTGCTATGTCTGTCTCTCTCTCTCTCTCTCTCTCTCTCTCTCTCTCTCTGCCCCTCCCCCAATTGGGCTGTCTCTCTCTCAAATACACAAACTTAAAAAAAAAAAAAAAAAGCTTATCCAAGAAGAAAGCTGAATGGCCTTTACAGAAGGGCAATGTGGGATGCATCCTAAGTCTTACACTGCAACTCAGATGATATAGAAAAATACTGTACTTGCCTTATTTTAGTCTTATAATCTAATATCGCTCCCAAATCTCCATTCACTGGTGACAAGGAGAAAAAAATTAATTAGTTTCAATCTCATTTAAACTTAATCCAATCTGACATTTTAAATATACTCTTAGGAAGTATCTGGTCTCTATTGGATAAAAAAATGCTTGATCACTAGGACAGCCTCTCCATCCCCTGCTTCTGTCCCCAAAAATACGGTGGTGAGAATGCATGCTCCTATAATCTTCTGGCATTGATAGAGACTCTAGCCTCATGCTGCTTTTCCTTGTTGTGGTGGCTGCCACGTGCTGGTCTCTGGAGCACTGCCCTTTGTGCACCCAATTGCTGAACATTCTGCAGGATACTGCTACTGAAATGACTAGTTAATATGGAGTGTAGACTTTGGGCAGGAACAATGTTCCTGAGCTACTGATGATGTACCAAGAATTCTTCTGGCTGCAGAACACTGAGCTTCCTATCACATCTTCCACCTCAAAAGTTGGCCCAGCAGTCCAGTTCAGAGTTGAGTCAACTCACTCTGCTATTGTAGGCATACGGCAGCCCCCTGGGCTTCAACTCAGCATCCACAGCAAATAAAAACTCAGAGCATCTTTGTAAAGGTAAACCCCTGAGTCTCCCTCTACCTGACCATGTGACTGCATACTACATTTCTGTGAATGAGTCCCAAAGTTAATATGTGGCAAAACCCATTTTGGACATCAAAAACTAATTATGACGTCAGTCTTACTTCTTTCTACACTTCTTGGTAAAAAAAATCCTAATCTCCCTCCTGACAAATGAGTGCCTCCGATTGACTAAAGAAAAGCCCTAATCACGCCACCTTCATCCACATCCTTATCCCCAATTTTGTTGTGTCTGATGACTACAAAGCCTGTGCTCTTTTCACTTCATCTCTAGACCTTTAGCCTGGAGAGGTTAAGGAGGTTTGAAAATCAGAAGGAGACGGACTGGAAGAAAACTGCCTGGTCACATCACATCATACTGGTCTTGGATTCTCACAGAAGCATCCTTAGTTATTGTTAAAATCCGTTACTGTAATTAAAAATCTGACATTTTGGAACCTTGACCATTCATTCAATACACACTCACAGAGCACCTATTATGTGCAACATACTCTGACAACGTAACCCACTGTAACTTTCCTATCGCTGCTGTGACAAATTACCACAAACGTGGTGGCTTAAAACAAGAGATTAATTCTCTTGTTTAATGAAACCTCTCTTGGGGGTTTAATGTTCAAAACTGAGTCTTATGGGGCTCATTGACTGGGGATGACTTAGTGGCAGGGCCACATTCCGTTTGAAGGCTCTAAGGGAAAGTCCATTTTCTTGCATTTTCCACATTCCAGAGGCTGCCCACATTCCTAGGCTTTTTACCCACGTCCATCATCAAAGCTAGCAACAGCCAGCCAAGACTTTCTCATGCTACATCACTCTATCTTTGACCCTCTCACCTACCTCCGATAAGGACTCTGTGATTACATTGGGCCCACCTGGAAAAATCCATCTCAAAATTTTTAATCATATCTCCAAAGTTCTTTCTGTCACATAAGGCAATATGTTTGCAGGTTCTGAGGATTAAGGCATGGACATGTTTGGGGGGGGGGGGGGGGTGGGGGGGCTTTATTCATCAATACCACACCTTTCAGAGAGAAATAACCCTTAGTGAGCCAGAGGGCTATAAAAGAATATAGCTTTTCTGCCTTTTTCTTTTTATTTCCTGCTTTCTTTCTTTCTTTTTTACTTTTTATAACTAAAATATAACAGTTATACTAAAAAAATACACAGGTTGTATGTGTACAGTTCAATGAATTATCACAAAATAAACACACTCAGATAACTACCATCCTGATCAAGTTATGGAACACTACCAATATCCCAGAATCCATCCCCACCCACCCAATCATGCCCAATCATGCCCTCTTCTAATCACTATACCCTCTCTACTCCAGAGGCTCACCATAGATTAGTCCTGTTTCGAATAGGAAATTGGAATGCTACAATGTATATGTTTTGTGTCTGACTTCCTTCACTCAACATGCTGAGATTTATCTATGCTGCTAAATGGAGCTGTAGTTAGTTCATTTTCATCATTGCACAATATCCCACTTGTGACAATATTGTAATGTATTTATCCATTATACTACTGATGGACATTTGGGTTGTTTCCAGCTTGGGCATATTTTTAATAGTAATGCTACAAGCATTCTTGCATATGTCTTTTGTTGTACCTCTATACACATATATACATTAGGTATATACTAGGAGAATTGCTAGGTCATAGTAGAAATCTACCTATCTATATATCTATATATAGCTTCAACGTCAGTAGAGAATACCAACCAATTTTTTGAATGGCTGTGCCAATTTATATCCGTACTAGCAATGTTTGAGAGAGCCCCAGTTGCTTTTCATATTCACCAACACTTAGTATCATCAGTCTTTTAATTTTAGACATTCTGGATATGCAATAGTATCTTATTCTAATTTTGATGTGCATTTCATGGATTACTATGAGGTTGCTCATAGTAATGAGTTTTTCATGCTTTATTGACTATTTGCATATTCACTTTTATAAAGTTCCTGATCAAGTCTTTTTACTGTCTTTGTTTTGTAAGAATTTTATAGGATGTTTGCTTTTGTTTTTGTTTTGTTTTGTTTTGTTTTTTACATATTTTGCATGCAAGTCCTTTGTCAGTTATATGTGTTGTATACATGGCTTCTGTAGGGTCAAGGGCAAGCTGCTCCAATATGGGCCACTTAGGCATACTGATCATTTTAAACAAAAGTTACTTCAGAGCCTGTGCAAGAGAAACACTCAGACTCTTCTCTGTCCCACTGAAAGCAGGAAATAAATCTCCCATGTGAAGGGTGCCCTCCCTGTACCAGGAGGTAAAGAGACATCCTTATGACTAGAGATGGGAAATTTGGAGCTGAGAAGGTTGTATAACCCACCCCCCTCCTACTTTGTTACTCTTTACTAGTTTACTACTTTAGCCCAAATTCTGTTTAGAATTCCTTTAACTGGGTGGTGCCTGGGTGGCTTAGTCTGTTAAGTGTCTGACTCTTGATTTCAGCTCAGGTCATGATCTTGAGGTGGGTGAGATCAAGCCCCATGTATGGCCCTATGCTGAGCATAAAGCCTGTTTGGGATTCTCTCTATCCCTCTCTCTCTCTCTCTCTCTCTCTCTCTCTCTCTCTGTCCCTTCCCCACTTAGTCTCTTTCCCTCTCTGCCTCAAAATAAACATTAAAAAAATTCCTTTAATTGAAGCTCCTGAAGTTTTCTTTGTCCTGTCAATATCTCACAGATTTATTGTCTCTTTGTCTTAAAAATTATACAGACTGCCTGCCTTGGTCATTTCTTTAGATTTCAATCGCATTATTGGGCCTTCATGCACATGTAATTAAACTTTGGATTTTTGTCCTGTTGATCTGTCACATGTAAATTTAATTCTTAGTCCATCTGGAAGACTTTGAAAGGATAGAGAAGAATTTGTCCTTCCCTTCACTTCTCTGCCACAAATATATGAAATTTAAATGTGAATTGATTTCTTATGGATTCAGTTATCATTCTCATTTTTGTTAGTATACAACAAAACAAAATATAAAAATCTGCGTTAAATAAATCTTACACATAAACAGTAAATTGTTATTGAAAATATATCACCTAAATAAATGGATGGGCAGGTTTTTTTAATTAGTTCATGTATCCTTAGATGGATAATACCCACTGCTAAAGTGAGACTGGGTTCAGTGGAGATTAATAGCAAAAAATAAAAAATAAAAAAAAAGAGAGAGAGAGAGAAAGAAAGAAAGAAAGAAAGAAAGACAAAGAAGATATTGGACCACTTGGAAGTGCAGGGTTTAAAAAGGTACATTAATTATTGTTGTTTAAGGCATTATTTACAGGAGAACTCACAACACATTCAAATAAATCTAAATCTCTTAAATACAAGTAGATGGTAGGAATGAATAAATGACCAGAGAATTAGTTGAAAAATAACAGCAATTGAAAGATGTTAGCCAGGTGGCGCCTGGGTGGCTCAGTCAGTTGAGCATCAGACTCTTGATTTCAGCTCAGGTCATGAATCCATGGTTGTGGGATTGAGTTCCACATTGGGCTCCATGTTGAACATGGAGCCTGGTTGAGATTTCCCTCTCTCTCTCTCTCTCTCTCTGTCTGCCCCTCTCCCTCACTCAAGCATGTGCACTTGCTCTCTCTCTCTCACTCTGTCTCTCTCTCTCTCAAAAAAAAAAAAAAAAAAGTATTAGCCAGAACAAAAATGATATGCATTCACAGTACCCAAACTTTAGTCAAAAGCTAATGAAAGAACTTTTAATGGTATGTACATTTTACCTCAATAAAGCTATTTTTTTTAAAAGCCAATTAAAACATTTCTTCCACCAGCCTGAATAAATGTCCATGACTAACTTACCTTCAGTATATACTGCTTTTCCTTTTGGATGCAACATTAAACTGTCAGAAATAAACAATTTTCATCTCCTAATTCCTGAAATTATATGAAATATGCAACCATCTGGGAGCAAGAATTCCTGTCCCGCAAAGGTTCTTCTAGCTGGACTAAGAATCAAATAACATGAAACAGATTAACAGAAGAAAATCAAATTTAATAGCGTACATATAGGGAATCCACACAGACATGGAAATTCCAAAGACAGTCACATAAAATGAGGTGTGTGTGTGTGTGTGTGTGTGTGTATTTTCTATACACCTCATGCACACATACTTCACATATATTTCATATATGTATTTAATATATACATATATATATATATGTATATATATATATATATATATATATATATATATATAATTCTGAACTAAAGAGAAGGGGTGTAGGGATCTGGAATTTCAGAGGAAAGGAATGCACTTCACAGGGTGATAAGAGCAAATGGGTAGCTGGGAAGATGGCGGCAGAGGAGGAGGACCCTAGACTCTAACATCCTAAATACCCCCAAAATTGACCTGAAGATTGGCAGAACAAACTCAACAACTAAAGGTGGAGAAGAGGCTACACTGAAGAAGGTAGGAAGTGCAAAGACATGGTTTGGGAGAGAAATGGACAGTGGCTGCTGCCATGGGGAGAGAGCCTCAGGCTCAGAGAAGGATAAGAGACCGACTAACACATAGGGGAACACGTGGGGAAAATGAATCCCCATAGCAATCAGCTTGGAAAGTGATGGGCTGAGTGTTATGACTTCTGTCAACCAGTGGGTTTAAAGCTTGGAATTGTAAAGGTTAGCAGGTTTGGCTTGGGGAGAGCCTGGAGGCATTTGCTCTTAGGAAGAAGGCAGGGCAAATAGCCCACAGACATGCATCATGCAAACAGCAGAAACAACAATCTAAAGAACGCCTAGGGCACACAGTGGGGAGATTATTTGCTCTTCTCCAAGTGTGTCCCAGAGAAGCAGTGTTTATTGAGAGACCCCCTCTGGAAACAAAGGAACTGGCAGGTGCCATTTCTCTCCCACCCCCTCAGCATAGGCACAGGGCCACTAATAGGAAGCAGCGCCTTACTTGCTTACACCAAGCCCCAACCCCTGGCACTCCAGAGGAACCACCCTCCCAGTCATGCTTGCCTCAGTACTAGGGTAGGTTGGAGGAGGGGGGGGGGCTCCCCCGAAGACTGGCTCAACCTCTGCCAATACTTCATCTCCCAACCCTGGAGTTTTGTGAAGCCTTGGTTCTGGTGGCAGCAGCAGACCTGTCACAGGTTTCATTTCACAAGCAGACCAGAGCACACCTAATTACAACTCACAGCATTCAGGCCAGGGACCAAACACTGCCCCCCAGCAGGCAAGGAGAGCTTCTGCAGATGACTGGCCTGAAGGACAGAGCATCCAGAACATAACAACAGGGTACATGCAGCACACGTTGAAGACACTCCTGGAAGCATCAGGCCCTGGGGAACAGGGGACACTACACTGCAGGGCACTACAACCCTTCATCTTCATAAAGCCATTACCATCAAGAACAGGAGATGTAGCTGACTTTCCTAATACACAGAAACAGGCACAGAGACTTAGAGATCCCAAATG